GTTACTAACCTTTTCCATAAAAATTTCATTTCCATCTTGTGTTTTCATGGTGTTACTAACTGTTCCACATATTCTCGTTATGGAACAATAATTTTCACATTCTGATTTTATAAAAAGAATAATTAATCAGTATTTTATTAACCATAATTTACATAACAAACTCTCTTTTTTCCCTTTATCCCTGAATTCAAATCATTATCTTTATAATAGTAGTAAATGTTCTATTAACTAGAAAAAGGACCACATTTTCATAGTAGGGTCATAAGTCTCTTTCGATCAAGCTTCAGATTTATTATAAAGTAGTAGATTATTTTGAAAAAAAATATACGATAAAAAATATCAGCAATCACATGCTGGAAGGAACTTTCGAAAAATCATAAAAATAATCTTCAATATTCATGAAATATAAACAAATCTCAATAATTCAATGAGAAATTATAATATATTGATTCATCGTAAAACTTATGCATAAGAAAAATGATGATAATTTCTTACATAATGATAAGGCATATTTTGGCCCCCAGATGAGTCATCACTGAAGTCACACGCCTTGTCCCAACCAATATCAGACTCCGACGCCACACGCCATCAGAACCACGTGACGCACGTCAAGCCAGGTTTCGTACTGAGACACTATGCGACACGATAATCCCGAGGGCTTGGGGCGGTGCTGTCTGACGTCGCTCAGGCATCCCCCCATACGCCAGCTCGTTAGAAAAGCCGTCCCATCCCACAAGGGTCAACAGCCACACGGAACTGAGGCGCAACCAATCCTCACACAATAGTATATAAATCCCTGGTCGATGCTTGGCCAGAGGGGAGAAAAAAACTCGATATCAAATACTCAATTGACTTGCTCGTCGGAGGGGCCAAAGTCGGGAAGCACTCAACGAAGGCCATTTTGCAGGAAGGCGGACACCCCCGAACGGCGAGCGTCTCAACCTGGGAATTGCAATCCGGTACACGAGGATGCGCTGCCATTCATCCCCGAGTCGGAGAGACGCATCCCACCACAAACGGCGCCCGGGTCGGCAAACTTAGAAACGCTGATCAACAAACTCTCACGAGGGTCTAACCGACTCCGCCAGCCTGACTCATGTCCGAGTTGCTCCGAAACGGCCACCCCCGAGCGGCGAGCGTCTCGACCCAGGAGATACCTTCCATCGCACAAAGGAGAGCAATGAGTCGGCCCGGATCTCGCCAACGTCGGCCAACATTCCTTCTCGAGGGCGTGGCCACCTCATCATCCTACTCACCCCGCAATAAGCTCCCGACATCGACTCGCGGACCTAACCGTGATGACTCATCAGCCACGGTACTTTTGTTCACTAAGATTTTGGCGCTAGAGGAAGGGCTATGTCGTAGGAGCAGCTAACAGGAGTTCTCCCTAGGAGAGAACCACCGACCGGCCTACCTTCCGTCAAGCTAGAAAGTCAAGCCCTCCCCGCCCCCGGAGACGAGGGGATCCCGGCTTCGACACTGGATCGCTACTGGCGTCTGTTCAAAGACCCGGGATTGTCACCCCCAAGGCTCACCACAAGGCCCTCGAAGACGAGTCGCTCTCTCAGTTCGTGGCATGATTTTCCACTGAGATCCGGGGGTTTCCAGACGTTCACCCCTCTCTAATCTTGCAGGCCTTTCTGATGGGTTTTAAGCGTTCGAGGTTCTTCTGGTCACTGATCGAGAAGCCGCTAGCGACCATTTCCGAAATGCTACAACGCGAACCAGTACGTCGCCGTCGAGGCGCTGGTGGCGGGGATGTTAATGAAAGGCAATAGGCCAAGGGTGGAACTGTCTTGAGGAACAACCTCATCAGCCTCGGCGATACCCCGCCGTGGGCTCGGCCGGCAAGAGCTACCGCTCCCGAGGCCCTCACCTCTCCCCCTAAATACGTCTCGCACCGAGATCTTCCTCCAAATCAAGGAGACAGGTCTCTTGCAACAACCTCGTCTTATGAAGGCCACTCACAAAGATCGGTCTAAATATTACAGGTTCCATCGGGACTACGGTCATGACACGGAGGACTGCCGTGACCTCCAGAATCAAATAGAGGCGTTGATCCGGAGAGGTCACCTCGGACGTTACCTCAAATTCCCGAAGGCGACTCCACACCCCAAGGGACCCGTCGAGAGACAAATCGACGTCATCTCCGGGGGACCAGCGGCCGGTGGCAGTAGCTCTGCGGCGAAAAAGGCCTACGCCCGCAGCACTGTCGAGAAACGTCCCTGGCTCGAGCTTGAGCTTGAAATCACCTTCGGGGCCGGGGAGGCCGAGTGCTCCCACCATGACGACGCTCTGGTGATCTCCATCCAGATCGCCAATGCCCGAGTTAAGAGGGTGATGGTTGACACCGGGAGCTCCGTCGACGTTCTTTACTTCAACGCCTTCAAGAAGCTTAGCTTGATCGAGGGAGACCTTACCCCTATGACGTCAGCCCTCACAGGATTCACAGGGGATTCCGTCTCCCCGCTCGGGACCACGGTCTGCCCCGTCACCATTGGGGAGGAGCCGAGGGCGAAGACGATAATGACCACCTTCATGGTAGTCGATCTATCCTTAGCCTACAACGTCATCCTCGGCCGCCCAACGCTCAACAAGATAATGACGGTGGTTTCCACCTACCATAGGACCATGCTGTGGGGCGGGAGAACAATTGGAACACGTGGACCCTGCATGTAGATGGCTCGTCCACTTTCGAAGCGGCCGGGGTCGGGCTTATCCTCAAAGACCCGTTGGGAGAAACCTACAAGAGGTCACTCCAATTGCAATTCCGGGCCACTAACAATGAGGTCGAGTACGAAGCGCTGCTCCACGGCCTACGCTTCGCTTTGGAGATGGATGTAGGCGACCTTGAAATCTTCAGCGACTCCCAACTGGTAACGGGACACGTCAATGGAAGCTACGAAGCCCGAGACCCAACGATGATATCATACCTATTGGAGGCAAAGCGACTCGCCCACCGATTAAACTGCCTTTCAGTCACCAGAATACCTCGGGCGCAGAACACGCGGGCCGATGATATCATACCTAGACGAACTTTGGGTTTCAAAACCCTTCGGCAAGGATACTACTGGCCAACCATGCGCCAGGACGCCATGTCATACGTGCAGCAGTGCCCACAATGCCAACGGCACACCCGACTATCGCACCAACCAGTCGTTCCCCTTACTCCGATGGACGTGGCCTGGCCCTTTGCCCAAAGGGGGCTCGACCTCCTTGGACCCTTCCTTCCAGCATCTGGTCAGCGATGCCATACCGTAGTGTTGGCTCTACATGAGGATCGATGTCAGCACCCAAGAAAGAGGGGATCGGGTAGGGGAAGGAAGCCATTACTTACCCAAACGAGCGACTTGGCCGCCCGCCCTACCAGCACTTCAGAAGTGGAGCTGTAGAGGTCCTTGGACAGGCCTGGGTGCAACGCCCCTCGGACGAACTCTTGAGCGGTTAGGCCATTGCCCCAGAGACGGTTGTCGGCCTTAAGAGTCGGCCACCAAGCGGCGTAGGGGGCCTCGGGCTCCCCGGCCGGAAGATCGGTCATACGCTGGGCTTGGTACTACCCACCCTCGGCCCCGGAATAGATGCGGCACAGTTCCTGTACCGGCAAGGGGCACGTCGGCGCCCTCTTGGAAGGGTCATTGCCGGACGACCCGGTCGACCCTTTCCCATTCACACTCCCCGAGCCCTCCCCTTGGGCAGTAGCCTCGGGCGATCATCCACTCCTCGGTCTTTTCCTTAATTGCTTGAGAAGAGGACAGGATACCCTTAAGACGATCCACGATCGTTGCGTCTCCAGCAGAAGGCAACGGGGGGGCGTTATCGATGGTCCGAAAAGCCTACCCAGTGCTGAAGCCCCACTCTTGATCACAACTAATATAGAAGAAACGCCTCTTCCAACCTTTGTTGTTGGAGGGTGCACCACTGATCTTGAAACCGCTATGGGCGGTCTAGTAATACCCACCTGGTCCCTTGACCAAGCGGAAGTAAGCTAGAAAGAGGGGTCGGGACAGTTCGATCCCAGCCCCCCGACACTCCCAGATGAAAGCCACCAAGTAGCGCTAGGAGTTTGGCGACACCTGGGAGGGGGAGATCCTCCAAAAGTGAGGACAGTCCCTAATAACAGGGTGCATCGGGAACCGTAGTGTCGCCTCGAGTGCCCCCACGGTTAACCCGAATCCATCGGGAAACCGGTCGTACGACCGCTGCCCAGGCCAAGGGGTGTGCAGGCCGTAACACTCCAGGATGCGGTAGCGATCCCGGAGCACTTTCAAAAGGTCCTCGGTCACCACCTAGTCCACGTCGTGCCATGACTTAAGGGCCTCAAGCGCGGCTGAACACTCTGAGGCCTCCGAGGAAGCGCTACCCGAAGACACGCTTACTACCTCAGCCCGGGAATTTGCAGAGGGGGAAGGAGAAGGAGAAGGAGAGGGAGAAGAGGACGAAAACAAAGACAAAGACGAAAATGAAGACGAAGACGGAGACATCCCGACGTCAGAGTTGCAAGGAAGAAGCCCGGGGACCGGGGCGAGGGATTGAAGGAAGGAGGACAGTGGAGTTGCAAGAAAGAGTCGAAGTGCGGGACGAAAGACTGATGGCGAAGGTGATGGCAACCGCCCTGAATGGGGATTATAAAAGGCGAGTAACCCACGGCGGGGCGGCGATTAGGGCTTCCCGAGGAGAGGAACAGTCGAGGCATTAAAGACCCATCGTAACCCCTCGGATCCGCCAGATTCACTCGCCTCGGAGCTCTCGCCAGAAGTGTCCGATCACCCGAGACCCCCCGCCGAAAGGCCGTTCAAAACGAAGTTTCCCGTCAGGCCTCGTGATGCTCCACCCGACCCGCCACGTGACGCTACGGCATTCAACATTCAGGTATGAATCGGTCCCCGGATTCAATTCGGAGCCGAGCTTACTCACTCGGTCCCCAAATTCAATTCGAAGCTGAGCTTACTCGGTCCCCCGATTCAATCCGGAGCCGAGCTCACTCACTCGATCCCCGGATTCGATTCGGAGCCGAGCTTACTCACTCGGTCCCCAGATTCCATCCGAAGCCAAGCCCACTCACTCGGTCCCCAGATTCGATTCGGAGCCGAGCTTACTCACTCGGTCTCCAGATTTTCCGTAGTCGAGCTCACCCACTCGATCCTCAGGTTCAATTCGGAGCCGAGATTACTCACTCGGTCCCTAGATTCAATCCGTAGCCGAGCTCACCCACTCAGTCCCCAGGTTTGTTTCCTGCCCGGGTCGCTCTCGATCGCTCCCAACTTGCGACCCGTCAGCACCGGAACCAGAACCGGATTCGATCACTCGACCCACAGGCCCGATCCATCGCCCGGAGCTACACCTCGCGGCCCATCTTATGCCCGAGTCACATCTCGGTCGATCCAGTGCCCGAATCACCGGCCTAACCCATTATCCAAGTCGCTTCATGTCGACTCTGATTCGCCCCGAGTGAGACACGTCGGGTTCGCTCCGCAGGCCCCCACCGTTCGATCAGCAGGATTTCGACGTTTAGTTATCGCCTCATCAGGCCCCCACCGTTCGATCAGCAGGATTAATCCTATCCAAATCACGGGGCATCGCCCCTCTAAAATCGCCCCTCGACGAATCAATCCGGCTTCCTCGCACGGGCAACCAGCACAATTGCGTCCTTCAGCCCCAAGCATGCCTCCCGGCCTATTAGGGACCCAACGACATGCCTTGGAGAAGAGGGGGGAGAAGTGATAAGGCATATTTTGGCCCCCAGATGAGTCAACACCGACGTCACACGCCACGTCCCAACTAATATCAGAATCCGACGCCGCACGCCATCATAACCCCGTGACACACGTCAAGCCAGGTTCTGTATCGAGACACTATGCGACACGACTATCTCGAGGGCTCGGGGTGGTGCTGTCTGATGCCGCTCAGGCATCCCCAACGACGCCAGCTCGTTAGAAAAGTCGTCCCATCTCACAAGGGTCAACAGTCACACCGAACTGAGGCGCAACCAATCCTCACACAATTGTATATAAACCCCTGGCCGACGCCCGGCCAGAGTGGAAAAAAAAAACTCGATATCAAATACTCCACTGACTTGCTCGTCGGAGGGGCCAAAGTCGGGAAACACCTGACGAAGGCCATTTTGCAGGAAGGCGGACACCCCCGAACGGCGAGTGCCTCAACCCGGGAATTGCCATCCAATACACGAGGACGCGCTGCCATTCATCCCGGAGTCGGAGAGACGAATCCCACCACAAACGGTGCCCGGGTCGGCAAACTTAGAAACGCTGATCAACATCCTCTCACGAGGGCCCAACCGACTCTGCTAGCCCGATTCATGTCCGAGTTGCTCCGAAACGGCCACCCCCGAGCGGCGAGCGTCTCGACCCAGGAGATACCTTCCATCGCACAAAGGAGAGCAGTGAGCCGGCCCGGATCCCGACCAACTGTCACGGA